AAAGAAGCAATGGAAAAATAGATTAAAAAAAAGTTTTATATATATATATATATATATATATATATATATATATATATATATATATATATATATATTTTATTTTTTTATGGGGATTTTATTTTTTTCAGTTTTTTAAAAACATCAATTGGTTCGCCTGCTAAAGTTCTACACGCAATAAACGGAATAATGTCAAAACCCAAGACAAAACATTCATTTTAAATGTATCTTACCTATGATCATATTTCCTAATGCATAAGTGGAATAACAAGACAGAGAGGTGAAAGTATGTTTCCAATACCTTAGATGCATGAACAACAACATCTTGTTTTGAGTTGCTGCTGTGTATACATTAAAACTTGAATTAAAATATTTAGCCCTTCTGATTGGCTGCTGTGTCCTACCTAATTAAGGTTGAACGTCAGCTGCATTTCCTTTCAACACCTACAAGAACAATTTCTGTTTACATGGTGATTTTTGTTCCTTGGGAAATTAATAGATTCATCTGTGTTTATTTTATGGGGTTCTTGTAAAGAAGCACATAATAATTGATAAACACAGCAGCACTATTCAGTGCAAGTAGCCTAAATCCTGATGATTATATCAGAATTTGCAACTCAGCATTGCATGCAACATAGAAAAGAAAAGGTTGCTTCATCTTTATTATTTATTTGTTTATTGTCACTCACTGTACAGGATATGTGCAACAATAAAATGGCAAAAGTTTAACATAAAAAAAAAAAAAAACATTGCATTTTTTTTAGCGCCGCAGAAACCTTTAGGTTTTCCAGCAAACCCTCTTTCCATTGGCTGACCTGCAGTGTTGGAGCAGCCATGTTTTCTACATACTGTATTTTGCTATAATGTGAAAAACAGAGCAATTTAGATAAAGAAACATCACATTAAACTTGGTTTGTTAGCTCATCAGTCAATGAAAATGTTGTAATATTTTTGGTCAAATATAGCTCCAATTATGTTAACCTTTTACTTGGTTAAAAAAAGATCAGATGATGTTGATTACATTTTATATTTGCAGAGAATTTGCAGTGTTATTATCATCCAGTTACCTTCCTAATTGGTAATTGCGTAATTGCGAGACTGCAATTAAAATGCAATATCTGTTATTTTTGTACTCTGCAGACTCAGAATAAAGTTAAAAAATAATAAGTAATTGAATTGTAAAATCTTATTTACTTTTTTGCCTCACCACTCAACAAAACATATATATAATTTGAATGAAGTGAATTTACTTGTACTTGAAAAAGTGATGTTAAAGGTGGTGTTTAAAGGGAAGTTATCAGCATCTGTAGTGATGATAATAAAGGTAAAAACTGTATTAGCCATACAGCAAATACAAAACAGACATAAAAACTTGCTAACCTTTTTCTGCCCCTGCTTTTCAAAGTTTATTTTGTTCAGCTCAGCTCTGTGTCAGTCAGTTGTGAAATGAAATCGGTGAGCTGTGAAAACACACCTCCTTAGAAGCACATCACACGAAAAAAAAAAAAAATGGAGCTGCCACCTAGAAATTCTTTTCCTACCTTTCCTCAGGTCAGGATTCAATCTGTCCCTCATTATTCCTTTAAAGGATCATAAAGAAAGGATAATACTATGTTAATTGAAGGTATTTTACTCCCCTTAATTCATATAAATCCATTGTATCTCTTTAATATATGTCAGAAAAGGATGAATAGATGTATAAAAAGTATTTTTCAACAAAAGTTATGAATGGATGTACTATATGGGAATTTTTAAAATGAATAAACTTGTTCTTTAAATAATCCAAATAAATAGCGCTAAATTGTTTGTGTAAAAATAATCTAAAAAAGTTGCAATTGCAATAAGTGTGCATATTGCTGATGAGCTACAAAGCAAAATCTATTTTTTAACAAGCTAAGGATGGATCCCACCTTTATTTCCCTTTACAGATTCCATTATCAGGTATTTTCTGCTGAAGTAGCTATAAAATAAAAAAAATGTTTGGTTTTTGTTTTTTTTAAAAACATGCTACAATATTTAAGTTCAGTCATGTTTTTTTTTTTTTACTGTATAAGGATAGCAAAGCAACTGCTTTAATCTGTCACTTGCAGATGTCTTTTCCCTCATGATTACTATTGTTGTTTGGACAGTCCAAATATGTTAACATGCGCACAGACTCCCATTTTCCTTTCATTGTACCAAATGCCTCCTTTGTTGCTACAATGACCACAGATAATTTTTTGGGTGCAAATTTGCAGCTCACTTTTCAAAATATAAATATAAAACTTGTCTGCAATCGGCTTTAGGCCTTATAAATCGATTTTAATAAGAAGTACGTTTTTACATTGACATGTCCATCACCAATAATGTTGCACAGTTTGACAATTAGAATTGCATATTCATAAACGTTCATATGCAATACATCCTATGCCCGCTGATTTGCTTATTTGATGCAATGCACATTGATTTGCACCTGCAAATTTTTACGTGTCAATAAAATCCTTTTGGATATTAGGTTGAACATGTAATTTATGAACCATGTTGAGCACAGTTGTTTTGACAGATATATGATAACCACAGATTTTGGAAGGAATATCTTCAGATAACTCTAATGCTTTTTACTCACAATATTTTGTTGAACTGACTGGTGATTCAGAGAAGAAGGACAGTCTGCAGAGGTTTTAGTATACCTCAGAGACAACAGCTAATGAACGCAGGATGGATGGATTCTGTACTCTGTCTATATATAACCCTTAAGAGTGAACTTTTCCAGTTAACATTAGCAATGTGTAATAGTGCTTGGCTCTGGAGAATATCTCTAGAATTCAAATAAAGTTCAAACTGAGATTAATGCTAAAAGCATCTACTCACTATAATTGTTATAGAGAAACAGATCTGAGAACAGAATAGAAGTAGTGTCATTATATTTGTGTTTGTCCATATGTGTGAATGTAGGACTTCCTCAGAAAGGAAACTGAAAGCTTTTATTTGTAATGTTTTCTCTTAGCAAGATTGCTTTATATGCATGGGCTGGTTCACTGCTATCAATTTGTTTGAGAAACAGAGTATTACATGTTTAGTAAGGTTAAAAAGTTGAAAATAACATGAATAAAACATCTAAAAAATCTCATACAAATGTTGAAACAACACTAAAGGATGAATATTCAGTCCTGTAAGATCTAATAAAAGTTAATTTTGCGAATTAACCCTTGGCTTTTCTTCTACTTTCATTCTTGGTGCAAAGCTGTATTTATTGGGAGCAAATTTGTGCAAAATAAACACCCAGATTTTATTCAACCAGATCAGTCAAACACATATCAGTTTCATATCAGGCTGATGTGAATCCACCATTTAACCAAAGAAACGTCTTATTTGTTAATTTTTCAACTAGTATTTTAGTTTCTTTTAAAATTCTGAGCATTGCTCATTTGTTTTAATTCCAGGATTGATAGTATTGCAATGAAGATTATTTTTACATTTACATTTAAGAGTAGTTATAAAGATCTCTCATTGGGAAATTTCCTTGGTCATGCTATTCTATTCATTAAGGGTTTAATCTTAATCGAGGAAACCTCTGTATCGCAGGTAAGAAATGGAGCAGGCAATACTCCATTTTTTATTTTTTTCATCTCCTGACTTTATAGGTGCAATAGACCTGAAATAACTGCACACTAAAGAGGCAGAATAAAATTGTTGTTTAGCTTTTGTTTTTTCTTTTGTATCATGTATTCCCCAACAATAGGAAGAAAAAAATGCAACAAATTATATATAGAATATTCCAAGAAGTCAGTAATTTAAAACAAAATAAAATCTTGTTGTGCATTACTAAATTTCAAGAAAATTGATAAATACTTGAGGTACATCACATATTTATAACACTGATCCTCCTTTGTCTACTACTTTAACTCCTGGGGTTTTGTAAGTACTGTATGCAGAAACAATGATGAAAAATAATATTCTTAACAGATGTAGCTACACTTAACAAATAATTTAAAGCAAATTGTAAATAGTTGAGCTCAACTATAATATTGTTTGTTTCTTTTCATGCTAATAATTGTGTTAAACTTGATAACATAAATTCTTAGTGATGTCTTCAAACTAACTTTTCATGGGAACGTTAATAAATATCTGAATATTAAGAGAAAAAAGAAACAAATTAATTTGCCGCTTGTCACATTTCTTGCACTATTTAATAGAACTAATTGGTAAACAGCAAAATTTTATTAACTAAAGAACATTTGCGTTTGTGTCACATTAACTGCATGCAATGAAATACTTGTTACTTTCTCTTTTGTCAATACTGAACCGCAACATATAAATGTAAAATGTTAAATCCATGTTATCAATTCCCAGTTAAGAGTTGAACTAATTTGCATGAAATTTGTGTTTATAGCTGATCCAGATGCTTACTGATTTAACAACGGAATATATCAACTCTTTGTAATACTGTTGATTTTGGTGAATATTATGGACGCATGTTGCAATTTATCAACATACCCTTTATCCCTGGAGGGATATAAATGTGAATTTATTTGCATGTCAGTGCGTGTCAATTTAACCCAAACATTTGCACAGTGCAAGCAAAGTGTGAAAATCGGCAATATAATGCAGCTGGCCAAAAAGCTTTAGATTCCACTTGAGTTATTTACTTATTTTTTAGTAGGACTTGACTGCATAACAATATTTTATCCAATATTATCCAAAACTAATCAGAGATGATTACCTTTGCATTTTATTTGTGATAACAATGAAATCTATTGTCAAATTAATTTTATTTATGGAGATTTAAAAAGTATTGGATAGGCGTGGTCTGTGATGGGAGATTGCATAAAAGTGTTTTGAAAAAATATGGTCACATTATAACTTAATGCACTGTTTCTAAGTTCCCTGCATGCTCCTTAATAACCATGCAGTGTTTTCTTCAGCTGAACTCAATCCCTCCTTATCCTTAGCAAACACAAGGGCTGTGGAGGAAGTATGTGATCATTGTCTTCGTCTGTAGTGTAAAAAAAAAGTGCTTATATTAGGTAAAAATACTGCATTGACCCTTGAAGGATTGGTTCAATGAGAGTCGCAGGTGGAAAAAAAACCTTTTCTGTAATCCTCACATGGTCTTCATGTGTTCAGGGAACTGTCTGTGGTAAGTACTGCTGGTATGTACTGTATGGGAGTGTTCTTGGGCCAAATATAGGCCTACTGGGGTGTATTCTAAGTGAAGCTATTTCACTGTTCTCCTCAGATCATTTGACTAAAATGTATCAAAAAGTGATATATGTCTGGGACATTTTATTCTACAAAAGCAGTGCTCATGTTTTCATGATTTCTTTGCCTTTTAAACCCTAAATATCTGCCTGCATAAATATTTTCTTATAAAATGTCTTAAATCTACACGTGAGCTCCAGAGAAATGAAACTAAGATGTGTCAATAAAAAGTAATGCGTCTTCAGGAAGTAGATATTGTTGACAAGGTCACTTTCCTCCAGTCCATCAGGTGTCTATAAGGACACTCAAGCATGATAAAACCCGGCGGACGCCATAAAAAAGGAGACAATGATGTTGTAATAGGTGCTTAAAGCTGATAACGTTCCCACAATCCAATCAAACAAACCTTCACTACTGTTCCTCATGAACAGATGCCTAATGGAACATGACATGGAGAAAGACTCCAATCCTTTTTAAAGGGAACTATACTATAGCTCTTGCGCTTTATCTATACAAAGATGTTTTATGGCCTTTTTTGTATCTAAATGGTTTGCTGTGTTACTGAGGTCAAAATGTACAGTAAAAAGAGCCTGGTCACTCACTCACTCACTCACTCACAGACAGACAGACAGACAGACAGACAGACAGACAGACAGACAGACAGACAGATTTGTGTTTATAAATGAGGTCAGTGTCTGCAAAAAGTAGAATGAATATAAGGGTTGCTTGCTAAGGGTTGACTTCCGCTTTATAAATACATCCTGATCTGAGCTGCCTATGAACAGTTTATTAAGTTATAAAGCATAAAGAAATGCTGTTTCATCAGGTTTTTCTGTTTTTTTTTTTTATTGTGGGAAAAATTCCTGGGCTGTTTATACCAGATATTTAGATGTTTAATTATCCACAATAAATCTGTTTGAGAATAGGAAATCGATTTGAGGGGGAATTGACCTAGAACCAGTGTGTCTAATAAAGCTAAGGCTGCATATCAAACACATTCTTCTTTAAAAGAGGAAGCCTGGCCCTAGTTCATTATAAGCTGTTTAAATTCCCTTCCATGGCTAATTCTGGACATCTGACTTCTGGTGACACTGGAATGAGGAAGAAAGATTGTTTCTTTCGTAACACTTACTAAAACACTGTCCTATTAAACTATTCAACTTTAATAACGACCTCTAAAGATAAGCTAACAGGTTGATTTATTCTGATGGACAAAGCCGCTGTTTGTCACATTCTAAATGCCCTATAAACATCACACATTGTCAAGCTGTGATAGCTTCTTATTTTTGGCTGCCATTTTTCTGTTTTTTTTTTTTTTTTCTTTTTTGGCTCCTTGATGCTGCTACAAGATGGACAAACAAGAGTAAGACGTTCAGCCAGTATACAGACGCAAGCTGGCTGCTATTTTCAGAAAAAATGTAGACCTGTGGCAGGAGCCAATACAATTACTGTCTGGTTGTGTGTGTATGTGTGCACCATCAGGGCCATAGCATGGGGTGATGAGGACTCTCCTCGGCTGACCTCGGTGCAGACGACTAGGGATGGCCACAGCATCACCTCACCAGTAAGTCTTAACTGCAATTTCTCTTTAAGATTTGAAACACAAACTTGATTTTTGATTTAACTCTACTCAGTAGATGTAGACTTAATCACACATAGTGACTGGTTTACATTACTTATTGCTGTCAGGGTAAGTGGATGTTTGTAGAGGACCTGAATGAACAGACGGAAGGCAGAGATGGTTTCTTGCAGATTTAATGAAGAGGTAGATGGTAACAGAAGCATAAATCCAGAAAATAAAGGCAAGGAATTGGGGAGCCAAAACTAGGAGAATAAACAGAAGGAATGAAGAGAATCCAGCACTGAGTAACTGCAGAGGAGGAGTATATATGGAAGACAGAACAATGAAAGAAGTAATCAGCTAATTGGGAGCAGGTGTGAACAGAAGCAGCTAGAAGGGTGCTAAAGAGAAAGGAAAGTGGCACTAGGGGGCAACAAAGAGTAACCAGAGAAAACAAGAGGGCTTTACTTTAGCTTTACTGTAACAACAATGAAGCTAAAGAGGGATAAAACTACTGAATACAAAATAAAGAATGACCAAGGGGAACACTAGAAGATAAGGGAAGGGACTGGAGATAACTTAAGATAACTATAAGGCCATGGAAAAAATAAATTAAAGATAACCAAGGAATAAATAAATACCAAAAATTATAAAAAAAGAGATAAAAAAAATAAATAACTAGGAAGAAAAAAAAAAAAAAAAATCAAAAATGACAACAACACAAAACAACATAGATAAAGTACAACTGAGAACCCAAAATGAAAACTTACAAAGAACCAAAAAGTCCAGAAAAGCAGATCATGAAAATTTATAATTTATCAGTTAAGTTTTGTTTTTATTTTAGATAAATATTGTTTTTAATGGAAAACAAATGCAGTTTAGAATAGAGTTTATAACAGTTTTTTTTCCTCTTTCCTCCCTAAAGAAAACTGGTTTGGTGCTGCAAAACTTTTTTGACACTAGAAATAATGACATAAATCAATAATGTAATACATACTCCCTGAGCTTTTCTTTTTTATTAACAATAGTTCATTAACACAAAATTTTATGTATTTTATTAGGATTTGTTGAGCTTGACCAACAAAAAATAGCTCATGAATGTTAAGCTACAAAAAAAAAAATTCCACTTATTTACACATTTAAATCTGAAAAGTGTGGAATGGACATGGTTTGACCTCAAACCACTAGAATGACAGCTGCAAGTCTTCACCTTCTTTCCGCATCTTTAACCCCCCCCCTTCTTCTTGTCTGTGAAAATCAGTTTTCAGGCCACAGATTCTTGATTAGATTTAAGACTCTACTTCCTGGGAAATTCTATCACATGAAAATCCTTAACTCTGACCCATCCTTGTGGAGCTCTGGCTATTTGTTTGGTGTTGTTGTTCTGCTGGAATATAAACCTCACTCCAATCTTAGGTTTTTTCTAAAAAAGGTTTTCCTTCTAAGATTCCCTGTATTAGCTCCATCCATAAGCTCTGAATAACTTCTGTTTACTGTAAAGCATCTGCACAGTGAAACATACAGTAGTAGAATTATGCTATAGTTTGTTCTGGATCACGCTCAGTGTTAGGCTTGTTGCAATCCATGCAAATACAAACAAATGTAATTTTTTTGTCATATCTAACCTATATCAGACTTCTTTAGTGCATCTGAAGGGCCCAATTCTGGCCTTTTAACATGAGGAAAATCTGTTTTTTGCCAGTTTTTATTTGACTTATTAAAGGAAAAGTCTGGTCAGCAAGGAATAATTTATGGATTATTATCTATACCTAAAACTAATACATTCGGGGTGATTTAATGAATTTAGTATTAATCAGTAAAAAAAATAAAAAATAATAATATTCGTTGTGCTCATTGATTCTGGGAGCAGCCATTTTTGCCCAAATATGGTAACACCTCATTCCTGACATCTTCTGGCAGTGACATCACAGTGCAGTAAGCTGAAGGCCATTCTCCCCGCTTTACAAGCAAAATCAATGGGAACTATTAAACACACCCTTAATCAACAACAATTAATTTAGATTTCGAGAGGACATCGGCATTGAAATTTACGAGAGCTATTGTTAAAGTGAAAATGCCCACGTGCATGACAGTTTGTTTTTGCAATACATCGGGTAAAAGTGAAAAAATATTAGTTATTTCACCATTCCGATTTATGACCCTTATTGGATTGCCAAGTTGAAGAGGGAGGATTTGCCATTGGACTTCTGGCCAGAGAAAAAACACGCAATATGAAGCCAACCTTTTCGAAAAATGTTTTCAAGATGGCTTAGATAATAGCACGTTGTGACAAACACCAGATACAGCCCTGGGACTTGATCAACAGCCGATACCGCACCGTGACGTCACAAACCGGTAGTTGGCAGTAGTGTTCTTTGACAAACATGGATGCCTCCAGTAAAGCAGATTCAACTGATAAAATTACTCTTAATCAAAAACACTTATCCTTTATTGAACAGTATGTAATAATTTTATATTTAAAGTACTTTCAGAAGTTTAAATTCTGAATATAACCGGACTTTTCGTTTAAATTTGATATGATTGCAAAAGTTTTCAAAGAATCCTCAGTATGAACGGTCAAATTGATTCCTGCTAGTACATCTTTTCTTCCTGGCTTCAACTAAAAAACCCTCAGACTATGGAAGCACCCGATGCTCCTCCAAAGTAAATTGTTAACCTATTTTTTTTTTTTTCGCACGCATGATGTGACCATTATAGTGTCACCAATGTTCAGCAAGAAATAATATCAACTTTTACTTATTTTCTTCTTACATAGCTTCTTTGAGCACTTGTAGAATCATTCATTCTGTATTACTTGCGTTTTTAGTGCACTGTTATGTGCATCAACATTTTCAGTCTGCACAAGCAGGTTGCTTTGGGGGATATAAAACCATGAAAACAGAAGTCTGATCCTTGTTTCATTTAAGAAGATATATAAACAAATGGACAAATAGATCTTGTCTTTTTAAGCCAAGAATATTAAAACTGAGCATTAAAGCGTACAATGAGAACATAGCCTTACTTTTCCTCCATAAGGAATGTATTGACTAATAACTTTGGCTTTACAGTCATGTGGTGGCATAGATTTTTTCTTAAGGTTAAAAACCTAAAATGCCATATTTTTTTATTTAGGTGTAAAATAACATAAAAAATAAATAATTTTCCTTTGACTGCAGTAGAATGTGCAAATGTATTGATCAACTAAATTGCTAAAATGTTTGCACCTGTAATGTGCCACAATTAAGTGGTTTTAATACTTAATCATACACAAATTCTTAAATGACCTAAAGAAAAACTATGCATCCCTATATGGTTACAGTGCTGTCTAGAGTTGGAAATTGTTGAAATCCCAGGTACAGATGTTAAGGACCTTAAAAAAATGTCTTTCACTATAGTAAAATTATATCAAATGAACAAATCAAACTTTTATATGAATTGAAAAATTCTACATGTAAAATCCCTTATGCAAAGCGTATATGTTATGCTTTACACAACATAACATGTATTGGAATGAACCAAACAGTGATGTATCAGGTTTTAATATTTTTATTCTGTCACTTTTTTTCCCTCTCAGTTTGTTGGATGAAATAATAAATAATGGGAACCAACAGCAGGAGCAGCAGGAATTCTTGAGCTCTTTGGAGACAATTTTCCTTACCCTCTTCCTATCTATCATCATTATTATGACTGTGTTTGGCAACCTGTTAGTTATGGTGGCACTCTGCAAGGACAGGCATCTGAGGTAAGTTTCCATTTAGTTCTTGAAGTGTAAAATGTTTAAGGCTTGCAGCTTGCAGCATATGAACAGAAGAAACAGACCTAAGCATTTATTGCATTTCTCCAAGTTGTAAAAACATGGATTAAAGCTGAGTAATGAATTAAATGATATTCCTATTCGAAGCACATGGTTACAAGGTAAGTTTGTGACCTGAAAGGTTTAATGAAAATACACTTTAGATCTGCTAAAATCAGATGCAGCAATGTGAGTTTTCATGAGAATAAAACATTTGTATTTTCGTATTTATTCCGTCTCAATATCGATATTTAATCCATCCATCCATCCATCCATTCATCCATCCATCCATCCACCTATCCATCTGCCCATCCGTCTATCCATCCATTCATTCATTCATCCATCCATCCAAACATCATCCATCTAACCAGCCATCCAGTCATCCATTCATCAAGCCATCCATCCATCTAAACATCCACCTGTCCGTCTGTCCGCCCATTCATCCTTCCACCCATCTATCCATCCATCATCCATCCAAACATCCATCTGCCCATCTGTCCACCCATTCATTCATCCATCCATCCATCCATTCATTCATCCATCTAACATCCATCCAGCCATCCAATCATCCATCCATCCATCCATCCATCCATCCATCCATCCATCAAAAGAGGACAAAAAATACACCCTAACCCATGATGCAACTCTGACAATCAACAATGCGTTTTAGAGTATATGCATCTGGATTGGATTAGTCTGTCCATATTAAGCTTTCATCTTTTAAATAAAAACTTATAAACATGTACCTTCTTTGTTTAACTAAAGATAACTTAGAATAATCTTTTTACAAGAAAGATCACTAAGAAAACACTAAAATCTATTAATTCATTATGCTTAAAAATGATCCTGTTTTCTTGTTTTCTCTTAGAAAAAAAAAGACCAACTATTTCATTGTCTCTCTGGCGTTCGCTGACCTACTGGTTGCACTGGTTGTAATGCCTTTTGCTGCCATCGAGCTCACCACCGGCCAGTGGTTCTTTGGGGAAATCTTCTGCCTGGTGCGAACCTCTCTGGATGTTTTATTGACCACAGCATCCATCCTACACCTCTGCTGCATTGCACTGGACAGGTCTGTGTCTGTGATAAGGACACTTAGAGGGAGAATCGAAAATGTATGTTGTTTTTTTTCTATAAAGATGTGACGAGCTGACTGGTTATTATATGAAGACTTCAGTACAAAATTCATAGCTGCTTTATTTTGTTATGTTAACTATCTCCCTTTTCTCTCTTTCAATGGAAGTTGTGTATTGCCTAGTGATTGTATGCTTAGCTGTCTTTTTATGGAAGGCATCATTAATGGATGTCATCCTGCCCCTAACCTTCTGTACTTTCTTGCTTCTCTCTCATTGAACATAACTTTAGCTAAGTACTTCTGAATTGAGATTTGTTTTTCTTTGGAAGTCATTTAGTAATTTGAAATTACTATCATTGCTTTCTATCTTTTTTTTTTTTTCAAGGCTGTTTTTCAGGTCTAATTATTCTGTGTTTAGCTGTGTCTCTTTTCTTTAAAAACGTCAGCTATTGCTGCCATTTTTGTAATTGCTGTATTTCTCATTCCTTAAGAACGTACAACCAGTACTTTTCAGTTTTACCATAGTTTTGTCGTTGTTGATAAAATGTTGTTTTTTATGTCTTCTCTTCTTGTTGAAGTGCTTGGCCCAGTTTGCTAGACATTTCTGTAACACATGTGAACTATGAATAGTCTTTTTGATATTTTTCCCACAAAATAACTCACTTATTCATGCTTAGCTGTGCGTCTTTTACTTGGTTGCTTACAATGAGTCTGGTTGTTTTGGAGCCTTCTTCATGTTTAAAGCAGATTGTTCCACTCACTGACAACATCTGTCTCCTCAGGATGACAGAATGCTAAAAAGTTAATGATTTGACTCAATCCATTCAGCTTGAATTCCTCAGATACTCATTTCCTAACTGGCATTAAATCATCAACCAAATTTATTTGAATTGTGTTGTAATTGGAGTTTCATTTTGACTACATGTAATTTGCTCCAACCCTGTATAATTTGATTTTATTTGATCAGCTTGGACTTACTGGAACTAAATTCAAACCAATGGATAAGTAGGAGTGTCATTTATTTTTGTAGCTGTCAATCCCAGTGCTCTAAATCTGTACTTACGCACTACAGGGTGATAGTCAATACAGTACACTCCTCCCCATTTTGCTGGTGGTCCAACCACCTTAAAAAACACTGGTTTAGAGTGCTCCAAAATTCAAAACATTGAATATGATAAAGTTCTCTATGTAAATATTAGGTCTTTATTAATGCATGTTTAATAAATCTAAGTTGGGAGCTGTAGTTCTCAAACTTAAAAACAGGACAGACCCCCATTTCCAGAGAGCTTTATGAAAATGTTTTTGTTTTTTATCTGCTCAATAAGTGTTTTTAAATGTATTATCTCTGATTTTTCTGTTCCCTGAGTTGGTTTTTTTTTTTTTCATTTCTTATGTATGATGCCTTTTTTGTGGGTTGCCATTCACTTCTGTCTTTCATTCTAGATACTATGCCATCTGCTGCCAGCCACTGGTCTACAGACATAAAATGACCCCGGTGAGAGTGGCAGTTATGCTCAGCGGCTGCTGGCTCATCCCCACATTAATCTCCTTTCTACCCATCATGCAAAGCTGGAACGCTATTGGGATAGAAGACATTGTGAGTTTGCAATAGTTAACATTACAATTGTTAAAAATACTTTTTTATTTGGACGTGAAGTTTTCTAGGAGACATTTCGCCTCTAATCCAAAAGGCTTCTTCGGTTTTAACTAGTGGTGGGGAGCACTGAGAGCAATATACTGTAGACAGCTGAGAGTATTATACCGTAGACATATGGGTATATAAAGGCCAAGTATATCCACATGTTCACAGTCCAGAAACATCAAGTTCACCCTGGAAGATGTAAAAGATGACAGCCTTGCCTTCCTGGACTACAAAGTCTACATCATGGAAGACAACTCAACACAGGAAACCCACACACACCAACCAGTACCTTCGTTTTGCCTTACACCACCCACTGGAACACAAACTAGACATCATCAGAACCCATACAACACAAGCGGAAACCGTTCCCACCACCAGCAGAGAAAAGATGAGAGAACAGGCACTCATTAGGACAGCCCTGAAGAACTGCGGTTATCCCAGTTGGGTGTTTTTAAAACCTAACAAGAAGAGGCCTACTGAAAGGGAAGAACAAGAAAGAAGGAACATCATCATTCCATATGTTGCTAGAGTCTCAGGAGGATTTTCAACCAGCACAAGATCTCTGTGCACTTCAAATCTGGCAACATCCTGAGACACAAAAATGGTTTACCCCAATGACAAGACACCGAGAAACAAGACCAACAATGTAGTTTATGCCTTTCCATGTAGTGTGGAGTGCACAGACTTGTGCATTGGAGAGACCAAGCTACCACTACACAGACAACATCCATATTCTGGCCAAGGATGACAGATGATTTGAGAGAGGGGTTAATGAATCCATCTTTGTTAACATGGAAAAAAAAACATCTCTCAACAGAGGAGGTGGTCTTAGACACAAGCTTTCACCTACTTACAAAGCACTTTTAGGAACGATACCAAGAAGATTCACCTCTCACCAGCCCTCACCTGACTCACACTTCAATGAGGCATGACACTGAAAATCACTCAGTTAACGACCAATCAGAACCCCCTAACGACCATTAACCACCCAGGTGAACTCATTGGGCAATCCAGTGGGAGGGATCAGAGCCACCTTCTGTTCCCCCTAATTCTTTGTTACACCTACAGTATATTAATCTAGGTGCTCCCCACCACTAGGTAGAAGTGAAGAAGCCTCTTGGATGAGAAGCAAAACATCTTCTAGAAAACTTCACGTCCAGCTGCCTAAACTGAACTTCTTAAGCTTGACAATGACATAGATAACTGGGAATCATCACAGATATCTATCAGATCAGAGATGCTAAAATATTTTCTGTTATTAAAAAAACCTAGTGAGTTTTTGCAAGCTATAGATTCCCAAAGGCAGGCAAATGAAAAACATGAATATATAGGATAAAGATTGTGTGACTTCAAGCAAAAACATTACTTCTGCCAGATGGTGTTTGCCACCATTTTAACAATCAGTACAAGAAGTGCACACCTAAAGTTGGTCCAAACTTGAAGTCTGTTCTAAATTTATTTTAATAAAGAATTAATTAATTAAATCCAAGGGGTTTAGTGGATAAGGGTTCATCCAAGGGTTAGTGGATAAACTGCAGGTAATAAATAGGTTAAAGGTATTTAGTCCGCTGATCTTAGATTGAAGTTTTTGCCGAAACCTCTGGTGTGAACTTTTTTGTGTTTGATGGGACTTTATTAGCAGAAATATCGGGGTTTAATAGCAGTCATAGGTCATGTATGTAAAAAAGACTTGAGATTAGAGGATCAATAAGTTATTCTTAAATTTCCCTAAGTTTTAGAATAAAATGATTTAATAAAAAAGATTTTTAAAATTGGCTGAAGCCTGTGCCGTGCACTTCCTGTATAGAATTTAAAAAATGACACCTCCCTTCCCATTCAGGAGGAGCATTCTAGGAAAGAACAAGGACTTTCTCTCCTAGTTTTATATTTTTGATTTTAGTTCCATATTTGTATTGTGAAAAGCACTTTTTTACAACATAGAAATAATGCAGTTTAGACTTAAGGTCAAACAAAACAGTATTTTATGCGTTTCTTTTTTTTTTTTTTTTTTTACCAAAGGTTAAAAAAGGTTCATAAAGATCAATCTATCCACCTTTTGGAGATTTTCATCCATTTTCCCCCCTGTAATTAATTGAACCTATCTTCTCATCAACTCAGACTTCTCTGTCCCAGCTTAAGAAAGGACCCAGACAGCATTATGCTGCCATCGCCGAATTTAACTAGGAAGTGGGGGTGTTTCACAAAACAGCTGTTCTTAAACTGACCTTAAATCACTTACAGACATTAACCAAATATGAGACTTCTGAAGGCAGTCGGTTGCATTTTATTTAAAAGTATCTTGCATATAATTTTTATTTTTTAAAGAATATGAAAGCCATTTTTGCTTTTCCTTCTGCTTCACAATTGCATTTTACTTATTACTTAAAATGTTAAAAGACTAAATTGTTGCTTTTAGTTAAAACGTGACAGCATTGAAGAAGTAAACAGACGTAAACATATTGTGTACTTCAATGGTAAAATTCTTATTTATCTCCCAATCCGCCTTCTCAAATGTAGGACAGCTTACCAGACAGACTGATTTAGCGGAAAAGGATATTACTTTGTGCATCATTATTATGGCTTTTAAGATAACTACTCTTCCTTCAGGCTGTTATGGGATGGATGAGGGAAGTAGCCAGCTAGGCTGCAGAGTTCCTGTGTTTATTCTAAGCTTAAATAATCCTCTTTATATAGAAAGTCTCACATGTTTGTTATTTTCCTTTAAGATTGAAGAGAGGCGAACTCTAACAGGAGGTTCCAATGACACAAGCTGCGTGTTTCTGGTCAACCGGCCTTACGCCCTCATCTGCTCCGCCGTGGCTTTCTATGTGCCTCTGGCCCTGATGGTTCTGGCCTATCAGCGCATCTATGTCACCGCCATGATCCATGTCAGGCAGATAGAGACTCTTCAGCGTGCCGGATCTGCACCAGTTACAGGCTCAGATCCAGTCGTAACTGTACGCTGTTCCACTTCCTCAGATCCACTGGACCATTACTGCCTGAGGACAGCAACTGTGTCCTCTCCCTCAGAACAAACTCATGGAGGGCATAACCGCATGCGCATCGAGACAAAGGCAGCAAAGACTCTGGCTGTTATAATGGGCTGCTTCTGCCTTTGCTGGGCTCCGTTTTTCATTACAAACGTGGTGGACCCCTTCATTCATTACTCTGTTCCCTGGCAGCTGTGGACTGCCTGGCTGTGGCTTGGTTATATTAACTCAGGATTGAACCCCTTCCTGTATGCCTTCCTGAACCGAGCTTTTCGGAGGGCGTTCCTAGTGATTCTCTGCTGTGGAGACCAACGTTATTCTCGGCAGGGGAGCTTCTCCCGTGGACACATCCACAGGCCATGTTCTGCCCCGTCAGTAAACGGGACCTCCATGGCTCTAAGGTAAAACACAGAGAGACACAAACACATTTATGGATAGCAAAGGCTTTGTTTTAACATATATTTGCATCTCAAGTTTATTGTCCGAGGAGTAATTATGTGTTTGAGTGAGAAGGTGTAAATGTGTTTGCTAGAGTGAGCATCTGCATGTGGGTGTCTTTCTATCTCCTGCAGGCTTGTGTCAGAAATAAAATATTAATTTGCATCTTCCTTCAAACATAGACAGATTTAAACATCACCTCCATTTATCTATTAGATATTACCAACACAGGAACTATACAGTAACATTAAAGTAAATGGAAGATGATACAACAGAAACTTGTATTAACTTTTGAATAAAATCCTGCAACCATTTATCTACAGAATTACCAAAATACTTAAACTAAGTGAGATTTATTCTTATCGTAAACAAAGCAGATGGACAAGGAGAGCGATATGGTTGCTCTGGAGGAGCTGCAGGAATTTACATATCAGTTGAAATAATCTCATGACCGGAAAACTTTCAGTCAACATATAACAAATCTGACCTTTATGGAGGAGTGGCAGTGCTACAGTGCTACATGTAAAGACTGTCATCTTTGGGTCAGAGGTCAAGCTGGGTCAGAATTGATTTGGAAATGGAGTGAGCAACAAAAATACAGCACAATCCTGGAAGAAAACCTGTTAAAGGCTACAGAAGACTTGAGACTGAGGTTCATTTTTCACCTTCCAGTATTTATCTAATATGTATAAAACCAGAGCCACAGTGCGTACGTTTAAGTCAATTAAATCCAATCTAATACATTAAAAGCTGGACAAAAATAAAGGTTTCTTTCATTAATTTATTTTCTTTATACTACTTCAGCAAACAAAACAAAAGTAGAAAATATACAAGTATAGAGACTTAGACACCAAACATAACAACTACTCAAATGGAGTAGGAAGAAGTTTGAAACCTATAGGGTCCTATCCCACTTCTTTCTTTAACACAAAATACCAATGTTGCATCACAAGATTCAAGAATTCAGTTTTCTCATATTGGTGACAGTAAAAACATGACTCAGTCTCAATAACAAACATTATTCTAGTAATTCTACTCTGCACAATAACTATTTCCTGCATAGCATATAGTTCAAGCATGCATATCAGAGAAAGACGATTTTATGATTAATAGGATGTAGTCATGTTCTACACTGGATGTACATACATGCATACAACTTTCCTTTTCCTTTTGGTGAAAAAATATAGAACATTTTAATTCCTTTTTTTTCCTTTTCACTACTTCAGGAACAATGTTTGTTCTTTATTTCTTAAAAACCCTTTTTACTTTTTTTTATAATAGATAAGCAGAAAACACTCCTTAAAAGTGTCTTTTTATCCAGTAATCCTCTGTTTGAAATTGTACAGTTGAAGCCGTATATTTCTATTGATGTACGGTCAGGTTTAGGTCTGGAAATCCCTATGTTGATTCTTTGTGTCACAAAAATATAAACTACAAAGTACCTTTATCATTCACACATTCAGTAATGTTGATTTACTTGTATATCTTAATACAATAGCCTTTTTCTTCAAAACAGGGCCTCTGTTAAAGTTGGTGACTTAGTTGAGGGCTGAGTTTGAGCCCTCTGTTTCTTTGCGTCAGGCGGATGATGGAGGATGCAGCCTTCGTGTTTCTCCACTGTTTAACATTTTTTCAAGTGCTTAGCGGTCAGAGGGAAACAAAAGCATGCTCGTGTTCACTTAGAGTCACACACAGATGACAGATTAATTGAAAATTTGTGCAAAGCACAAACATGTGTCTTAGACTATTGTGTAGCAAAAAATCCAGAAGGTTCACATTTTTAGTAAAGGAAAACAGCTATTTACCATCAAACTGCTGTGTTTTACCTCTTCTTTCTGTGTGTGTATGTACTGCATATATACAGAGGCAGAGCTGATCTAGTCTTAAAGCTTTTATCAGGAATATCTCATTTCTGTATGACTTGAACTATCTCTGCAAGTTTTTTTAGGCTCTACATGTGTATTAAACAGTAAAGATAACCAGTGTTTACTTTGTTGTTAAATCTGTCCGTGACAGAAAACAATCAGATCACTTCCAACAGGATGCTAGAAAGTCAAATTACTGCAGGAATCTTTTCATGTTATTGTACCAGGAAGCTTTAGGCCCATAGGCAGGCTTTGGGTGTGTAGAGTCTCTTAGGTCTGCTGGCTTTTATTTTTATTTTTTTCTGTTGCATATTTTTCAAAGCAGCAAAGAAATAAGAGTGTTTTTATTTTTCTTCTCCCTGTAAGAGGTCTTTAAAGGTTTTCATGTATCCTTGGGACAAATTAAATAGAATGTACACATTATTTTGGATCTAGCCATTTGGATCTGCTCTATGAAATGGCAAATATTAACATCCCTCCTGCAGAAGCTGCATTTCTATCAGCTGATCAGTTGGAGTAGGACGTAGCAGCTGTCACACTGTGAGATCATCAGTCTGATGAAACACTGTTAGTTCATTATTGCAAGTTATGTTTCGTTTTAAGACAGGGTTGTTTATGAGAGAGACAAACACAAAGAAGTAAAACTATGCATGGGTTTCAAACTTCTTAAATAGCTGAGGACCATGTTCAACCATCCTGACTCATTACAAAGACATTTTCCTGAAATTGCAAACTTTTGTTTAAGGGTATATTACTCTGTTGTTAAGGTTTTAATTCAAAATAGTTTTTAAAGTACCTTAAACCAGGTCTATCTGAAGAGCATTGAGACAGCATTTTTGAGCAATTTTCAACTCTTGCCAAAGATATTTTTATTGAATTTCTGTGTGGAATTTGGCTTGGTCATTCTAACACATGGTCATGTGTTAAAATGACCCAGAATGACTTCTTTGATCTAAGTCACTCCATTGTGTTTCTGGCTTTCTGTTTAGGCTCATTGTCCTGCTGGAAAATTCATCTCAGCTCCACTGTTCATTTTATTTTATTTTTTTAACCTTCCTGATCTGTCCTGTATTTAGTTCAATCCATCTACACATTGACATACCTGTCTCCTAAAATTAACGATTCCTGCAAAATGAGACTGCCACCACTATGCGTCACAGGAGGACAGTGTGTTGTAAGGTTATGTGCAGACTAAAGCCTATATTCCAAACATTAGTCATGTCCCCTACATGGCTTGTGGTTAACTTCTCAAGGGTTTACTTCGTATCACTTTCCTTTAAAGGTCTGATGCATTGATTGCACAGTTAGTTGTCATCCTGTTGACAGATGCTAACATTGGAGCTAGTGATTACTGCAGGAACTCAGCAGTAATAATGAGACTCTTGGCTTCTTCTATGAGTGTTTGCCTAGCCTGGCACTTTGGTTGTAGAGCCATGTCTTAGTAGGCTGCTAGGTCAACATTTTAGAATGTTATGAAGCTTCAGATATTTTATTATTATTGAAACGTAAATTCAATAATACTTTAAACTTTATGTCTGTCTTGTCTGCTGGGTATTTTACAAAAACACTGGATTTATACTAAGTTATTCCAAAAAGTAAAAAAAAAAACAAAAAAACAATCCACGGGGCTTTGTTTCCAAGTTTAAAGAGTTTTCACTTCCTATCCGGGAAGCTTTTTCATTTCAAAATCAGGAATAGCGTTGAGTTCAAGGCTATATACAGTAGCCCAACAAGCCCATGAACGGGATGAACGTGTCCACCCCTTGGAATGAGAGTCATTTGGCTTGAATGAAAAACGAATTACTTGAATTGAAAAAGCTTCCTGGATAGGAAGCAAAACATCTTCAAACTTGAAAACTAAGTCCAGTGGGTTTTCTTTTTATTTTTTGGGATGATTATGACCTGGATGACTGAGACTCTTCACCAGCGATTTATACTAAATTAAATATGAATGGGCTATATTTCCTCCATTTCCCTCATTACTGTCAGAAGAAAGAGTTTGTTGTCCAACAGGTGCAAATGCACATGAATGTGCTGCAAATGTTGTAACACAGGAGTGGTTCCAACACAATTCAAACACACACAAAAAAATCAGTTATAACAGAAAAAACAAAAGAAAAATGCTGCTAATTACACCCAAGAGTTTGAAAAAGAAATGAGAAAAAATGCAACTTGTCTTTCTTTCCTCCAACACTCTTCTTGGCATGTCCTTAAATGCCCTATATTTTGCATTTTTTTAGCCCTTAAAAGTCATTTTTAGGCAGATATATGATAACGCCTTTAGCACTACATGGGTATTAATGTTTCAAAATAGCATAAAATAAAACAATAGTAATGTATTTCATGCTGTGAAAGGGGAGTGTGGCATTTTTATGTGGAACCTATTGTTAACAGCTCTATAAAACATCTATTTTTACTGTTTTATACAGTTTAATTAAGAAGTGTGTAGTCCTTTAAGAGGATTTTGTTCAAATGAAAAAAAAACTTTCTTCTACACTACAAAAATGTAAAGACTTTTTCTTAAAATAATTGCATGCTATAATAATCAATAAATAACAGTATTTTCCCTTCATTTAAGGTGGCATGTAAGACAATTGTTACATTGGAATAAGATGATTTAGATTTAAAATGAGAAAGAAATATTCAATATTCATTCCATTGGTATATCATCTCTTTTTCCCTACCAAAATTAAGAGCAAATCACTTATTTTAAGATATTATAGTTTACTTTATATCAGTTGCCGTAGTGTACTTCTACTTAAAAAAATGTTTGATGACGAGCGCAGTTTGACACTTGCTTCTATTTCTTGGAATAAACAGTATTTTCTGAAAACTGAAATCTAAAAATTAGTTTTATATCAATTTAAAAGCTAATTTCTATATTTAAACATAACTAAAATAGATATAAATAAACTGGATAAAAGGCTTGAATTCTATTAAAAGAAGAAGGTAAAGAGTAAAGATTAAAAGCATTGAGGACATAGGAGAAGGTAAAACTTTGAAAGCAATGGGTGTAAGAAAGTAAGATGAGAATGGAACAGAGAGAAATCCCAGGAACATGGAAATGTGGAAGGAAATGTCAGACAAAGAAGAGGAGA